CGGACTGCTCAGGAATAATCCAGAGATTCCCAGATGGCAGACTACAGGTTGAAAACCACTGATCTACAGATATCATTTGGATAATCCTCCTAAGGCTTTAATATTCAGCTAGACTTGAACACCATCCAAATGGCAGTGTAAGACCAAGAAACTCATGAGAACCTTCTTTATATGAGATTTGTCATATATCTAGACTGAGTGAATAATGATACAAAGCCTATAAACAAATGAAAATTAAAAATAATTTAAAAACTGAAACTGTATAGTGTCTACAAAGTTCTACAGATACTGACTTAATGGATATACAAGGAAAGAGAGAGGTAAAAGAGATAGCTGAGCTTCTTCAGTTTCAAATAAGGTTAACTTAGGAATAAAATTAAACTTACTAATGCATACTTCTAATTTTTCCTCAATTTCTCATTATTTTATACAGGACCATGGCAACAGTCAAAGTATTGCATTTAATATTTACGGCAAGACCTCCATAAGTTAATATTTTATGTCTCCAAAATAGTTATTCCTTTCAAGATATTAATTTATTAAACCCAAACATATTTTCACTATATTTCTTAAAAACCATGAATCAGTTAGCGATGACTTATTTTTTAAACTAAGCTTTTTTTTCCCTAAAGCTTAGAGTTCTAGTTCCCTAAAAACATGGAGTGTAGGGCTTCTTACCTGTTGTCAAACTATCTGTCTATCCCCTATCTGCCTTCCCTCAAAAAATAAATAAAAGCAAATCTATCCCCTCTAATTAGAAATAGTTATTCTTTTTAAATTCTGACCTGGACCTTGAAATAGCAAAGTCTGAATTTCAAAGCCATATTAACTATGTGAGAAGAATTCTGCTCTGAAGGGTCTACATAACAAGTTACAGCATCAATAGTAAGCGCACTACAGTGTATCAGCAACCTGGAAAAATGCCTAAACCTTTCACAAGTATTTTCTTTCTCCTTTACAGCTTTTACCTTCTCGCTCTCACCACAATCTAACAGGGTGCTCAAGCATGCTGCCAACTTCAAGCACATTAAGTACTCCCTCTGCGATACATGCATGCACTATTTTCAAATATAGCATCACACATACACATGGCTGAACCTGGACCTGTGTCTGGAAATGTGATTCCTGTTCAAGGAACTTTCCATTCCTGTCTTCAACCTGATTTCAGAAAAATGCTCTTATTTAGGAAAGACTTTTAATCATACGCTTGAGCTTCATTCAAAACAATGAGAAAGATGGGTACAAGTGCCTAACTCTCAGAATAGTAACAATACATGTGCTCCACTGTTTAAAATAATTATGAAAAAACTAATTTCATAATTTTTATATTTTTTATCCTTTCTCTTCTATTAATTCTACTTGCCAGTTCTTGTATCTTTTGTCTGCTGCAAATTCTTTAACAGACTGCAGCAATGATGCTTATAATACTCTTTGTCCTTCATCGCCAATGTACATTTTCAGCTTTTCTTCTGCTTAGTTTGCCTCATATATTCAAGATGGACCAGGCTTGCTTATATCAGCCTTGCCCCTTGCAATTTTTGCTACACTCTGTATCTCTGCTGAGTTACAGTGGTTTCTTTGTCTTTCCATCAATTGAGATGTAAAAAGGGTAATTTAGGAAGGTGGGAGGATATGGAGTGGGAAGTGAGGATGAGGAAATATTCTTCAAAAAGTTTTCCCTGTTTTTTACCTTGTCATGCAGCTTTATATAAAAACAGCCTCCCATTGGACATGGCAGGCCAGGCTACTGTCTCCACAGCATACTATGGATTCCTTTCAACAAAACAATAAAGCTCTTGCTTAATTTAGGTGCACGCATAAATTTTATTATCTTCAATAATCACGGGTTAAAGATAAGCATAAACTGACATGCTTTGCCAAGTGAAAACGAACTTGCAATTGTTCTTAATGTTCTTCATTGAATCTTGGCCTAAAGATTGGCCACGCCAGTCTTCCACTCTGCTGGAAAGCATTCAAGACATTTGGTACTGTGTATTATCTCTCTGTGTCATCTAGTCTGATGTCTCCATACCCGTTTCTTGTTCACTAAGGAAAAGACTAAGGTTCTGCCTTTGAGTCTGATCCCAATGTGCCCCTGTCACTAAATCTGAACTGCAACTCTTTCAACAGCTGATCACATGTGAATATCCTCAAAAGCAATGTAAGCCTCTGGTTTGAACCCACTTAATTATTTATTTTTATGGTCGTGTATTTATTTTTAGAAAAAAGGTGCTGGGCCATTCAAAATGTAATGTAGAAGCCTTTGAACCCTTTTAGCATCCATTTTCTAGAAGAGTATAAAATAACAAGGCTAGAGATGTGATATTCACTGAATTCCTATGGAGTGACATCTCCTTGGTATAAAATCCTGAACTACGGTTAATAAAGATAAGGTTTCAAAGTCCCAGGGAGATCTCCATACCCTTGAGACACTGGGAGAAGGAGGGTAGAGGGCTAGAGGCACCATCATTCCTGTGGAAGTAGAGCTAAGCCAGTGCTG